ATCTCTCTCATTCATTAATAAAACTACAATAAAGTATAAAATAAGTTTGATCAATTTTACTGAAGTGCATGGTAAAAATCTTTAAAATATTGTATTATACCACAATCACCATATTTTCAGGGTAAATTTTAAAAGAAAATTCTCTCCGTGTATGTATATGAAAAAATAAAAAATAAAAAGGGAATAATAGATGTGAAAACGCGCGCAATTCGTAGGTTAAAATTGATTTTTTATTTTTATATCGTTATGCGCACTACTTGGCATCATCGCAATGCATTGCGATTTTTAGGCTATATTATAAAGAGTACCGCAACGGTACTCTTATAAGCGATAGCTTTTTCTCGTGAAGGCCCTTATGATCCAAAATGTTTATATACAACTGTCGCCTATAGCCCGGGCAGGCTCGCTGCAGCGAACGATAGATCTCGGCGTCAGTCTTTGTTCGCTTGCGGAAGTATAGTGACGTGAGTGCCTTTTTTTTAAATAAAATGTGTAAAAGTATTCCATCATTTCGCGTTAATGGTGAAATACTTTTACACATTATGTGGTTAAGTAAAAGTGATAATTTATAGTGCAGCATAGAAAAAACTTGTGAAAAAACTTGTGAAAAAACTTGTGAAAAAACTTGTGAAAAAACTTGTGAAAAAACTTGTGAAAAAACTTGTGAAAAAACTTGTGAAAAAATTTGTCAAAAAACTTGTGAAAAAATCAGAATAATGAGACAATACGAGCCACCACCTAAAAGAATAAAGCTGAATATAGAGGACGTCCTCGACGAGGAGGATGTTCTCACCGAAGAAAAAGAAGATGCCATCAACGGGGAGGACGTCCTCCTCGTCGATGATGTCTTCAACGAGGAGGGCATCCTCGATGATGGCTTCCTCATCGAAGTCAACGAAGTCGACGCTTCCCTCGATGAGAGTGACGCTATCGAGGTCGACGCTTCCCTCGATGAGGAGCGACAGGATGCGGGTGGCCTTTTACCATTCAATTTCAACAACGTGACTCCTGAGGAGTGCCATGAGTTTATGGCGTACGTCCTCCAAATGTCACATGAGTTCCAGCATTTCTTGCACTTCCTCGCTTCTCAGCAGGAAGAAGAAGAGGAAGTGCAAGAAGAAGAAGCCGAAGAATAGAGAGAAGGAGGACGAGGGTGAAGGAGGAAGAGGCGGAGGTGTGGAGAAGGTAAGAGAATATATAAACAAATTAAATTATTTAAAAGGCATAAACCACGAACGCCGATTCTAAATAGCTTAAATACTATATATATTTTCTTTAATCATTTACAATAATAGACGTTTCGGTCCTAAATTGGACCTTCTTCAGTATTACATTAGATTAAATAATAGAAAGATACAAAAAATTTTTTTCCTT